TTACTTTTCCCATATTCTCTCACTTTCATTAACTCCTTGCATCTTGCTTGGGGTGAAATAATAATAATAATAATAATAATAATAATAATAATTCTATTTCAAAGCACAGAAGCCCCTTTTAATGCAAATCTGCAGCTGTCAATTGAGGTGCAATATGATGCGCATGCGTCGAGTTACTTCCCAACTTCTTTAAGCCGCTGAGTAAAATGAACGTGCCGACCAACTCGAATGATATAACCTTCGGTGGTTAATCTGATTGGGAATAGACACCGATTTCTCATAAAATCGATAAGAAAGCAATCAGTTCTCTGATTGCTCTACGTTCCGACCATAAAATGTTCTTATGAGAAACGAAAATTTGATTTGCAATCATCGAAACCAATGAATGCAAAAACGGGAAGATATCACGGTCGAATTGCTGTGAGAAAAAAATATTTAAATATAAGAAAACGAGCATCACATGTGTATGTATGTATGTATGTATGTATGTATGTATGTGCATTCTGATATATATATAGCGTGCTCCAATAACTTGGACCGATTTTAAATGTGAATTAAGTTTAAGCGTCTAATGATTTTTTCTTTTTCTTTCAGATTTGGCGATATTATTTGTCACACATAATTGCCATGACTTAAATAACATGATCCACTAGAGACAAAAAATAATGTTTTTCACCAATAACACTGATTTATTTACTGCTGACTTTGATCAGTCTTAATGAAACACTCTTATATATAATCCGTCTTAATGAAATACCCTTTATATATATATATATATATATATATATTACCAGTTTGTGATTGGTAGGGATAATTCCAAGAAGGATATTAATCCAGGGAGAGCTCAAGGTAGACTATAGAGCGTAATAATAATAATAATAATAATAATAATAATAATGAATAAAACCATAAATATTCATTTTGGTTATAATCTATTTCATGAATATCGAAATATTCACTCTTCAGACCAAGGGGATTTTAAATACAGATATATAAAACAAATAAATTAAGAAAGTTAAAAGTAAAAATAAAAATAAAAAACTGTGTAAGATGATGTATGGATAATGATATAAAATATGTTAATTTAAAAACATAGGTGTGGTATACATCGACAAGACAGTCATAGATCCAACTACATATGAAGAAACACGCAAAGAACACAAAGACGTGTGATACACAATATCAACACACGTTCGCACTTACACATATACATACATATATATACATACCTACATACATATACATGAATGCACACCCATACGCGCTATTTACAATATAAAAGAACCAAAACATCAAGAGGGCATCGCCCCCGCAAAATATAATAAATGTTTTTATGGGATTTAAATTTGTTCTTATGTCTACATTTGAAGATCCGTTGGTTTCGTTGATTTAATAATTGGTTAGCATTTATGTATTTAATTATTGCAATTTTTCTTGTATACACAGACCGCATCTTTCCCAGAAGTTGTTAAGGGTTTGAGACCAATAGATGATTTTCCATTTGATTAGTTGGGGGAAACCACTATCTTTAATCTTCTAATAATTCTTGGATAGAGCCGTTTGGTTTTTCAAGGAAGTACTGAAGAAGGAAAGTCGGTGACTGTATATTCAAAAGATTGATTTGTCCAGCCTAAAACAACGGCCATATCGGTCAATTTGCAATGTACAAAGTTCCAAACTTTAAAAGAAAAATTTCTTGACCGGGTCAGTCTGTTTAGGCTTACTACTACCCATCTAACCTCTCCTTCGTCCCATTCTTTTCCATAAATCTTTTATTTTTATTTTCCTAAATTTATTTGTTTTATCTATCTGTATTTAAAATCCCTTCATTTACATTTGATATTATTATCATTATTGTAATTTCTATTTATTATTTGTATTAAGGAACCTTTTATTAGACTAACAAATTTTTTATTGGGTTGGGTTGTCCTGCCTAAAACAACGGGCCATATCAGTCAATTTGCTGTATAACTCAATGTACAAAGTTCCAAACGTTTAAAGAAAATTTCTTAACAGGGTCATTCTGTTTTGGCTTACTACTACCCATCCATCCATCCACTTCTTCTTCCCTCTTTCTCATCTCTGTAAAAGTGCCTGTTCATTCGTCAATTTTCTCCTTCCCCTTCTTCTCTCATATCTTTTCTCGTACTTTCCCTTCCTCCTGTCAATCTATATCCGTCCGGTATATTGTCTCCATTGTCTCCATTTACTAAGAGAGTTTGGTCTGAAGAGTGAATATTTCGATATTCACAAAATAAATTATAATCAAAATATTTAAGGTTTTATATTTATATATATATATATATGTGTGCGTGTGTGTGGTTAGAACGTTCGCTTTCTGAGCATGAGACCCGGGTTCAAATCTCACCATGGTCGATTTGTCAGGATATATTCGGAATGGATCAAAGTCGATCCCAGCGTGTGGCACCTTTGGAAAGTGCCTGAAAAACCATACAACGGGTTGACCCAATCCTTGTGAGTGAAACTGGGTAGACGAAACACTTGTGATAACACAAAGCCACAAGTCATCGTGACTTGTTCAAATTGTTGATCACGCTCTCTCCCAGAAACTGTAACTAAGGTCTGCTTAGTTGAGTTGCAGTATAAACCACAGGTGTGTCTGAGCGAGCGTCTGCAATAGGGATTGGCTAGCCTCCCTAGTTGATGGATATCCTCGAATACGAGTAGCCAACTATTATTATTATTATTTTTTTTTTAATGTATGCAATAATTATGTATTAAAGAGCTCAATATCAGGAATAGAGCGAATGTAAATATAAAAGTGGACATTGAAGTCAACCCCAGCGGGGACATTCTGTTTCATGTTTAAACTCAATCTTCAGGCCATCTGAATATATATATATATATATATATATATATATATATATATATATATATATATAGGATGAGTCTGTGTAAAATAGCTCATAGTAAGTGCTGGTGGTAATAAAACAGCGCTCAATGTAAAATAACAGAGTTAAAATTTATACTACTAATAAATAGTAGATAGGTTCACCCGTCGCCCTGTTCGCACACCTTTCCTGTCTATTGAACTGGAGTAGAGGTTTATCCCTTGTTTCCTGTTTAGGATTGAATTTTTGGTTCCTGATAAAGTCTTCTTATTCTGTTTCATTCTCAGTAACCTCCCCCCTATTAGTGGCATTATCATTTTGCTTGGGATGAAAATGATTAAAAAATATTGAATTGAAAACTCAGCTTTTTTTCAAGTATGCAGGTCGGTAGACGTAATAACTTCTGTTCAAAATAAATGGAGCGTCTACTCAAATACGGGTACCCACTAAAAATAACGTTTTAAGTAATAAAAATGTCGGATTAAGTTCGTATTAAAACAACAAATACAATATTAATGTATAATATATATAAGAAAATAGGGCGGCTCAAACACGTGCATCTGTAAAAAAATAACGTTTGGAGTAATTAGAAATGATGTCTGATTAAAGATGAATTCCATTAATTCTTTAGAAATTGCTTTGTTTACGTTTCGGGTACAAAAAAAAACGTCAGCAGATATAGGCTTTCAAGACGATTTGAATGAGATCTGAAAGAGAGAATGTGTATTCTTTAAGAGGTCAATTGAACCTTCCTGATGGGCGGTGACGATCTCTTTGGCCGAGCTCAAGATGCAGAAAGTGGAGAAATTCAAATACCTGGGAAACATCATAGATCAAACTGCGAATGTTAATCGTGTGATTAGGGCTCAGTTAGGGTCAGCAACATCAGCACTTCGGTCCATTCACAAAAATATTAAGTTTAATCAACTTCCGCTATGCTGATGATATCGTGCTGATAGTAATATCGCCAATGAACTGGACATTGAAAGAGTGGCAAATAGTATTGTGGACACACGAGTCTAAAGTTGAATTATTTGGTAATAACAGGGAAGTGTATGTATGAAGAAAGCCAGGAAGGAGACTGAATGAGGAAAGTAGGGTTGCAACAGTTAAGCATGTGGCCTTCTTCCACTTAAAAACATCAGCTCAGTTAAAATTTAGTGACCAACAAATTAAACTATTTCGATCCATTTGCCAGAAAACCACATTTGTTGTTATAATTCAATAGAAGTCGTTCTAAATCGTAAAGAACTTGTTTCGATTTCGAACTTGTCGGAGTTAACTCCTCCTTCAGTCCGTTAACCCTTTCACCAGGGGTCTCTCTTCCCTGGCTATAAATAGCCGCTGACTCTTCACCTCTATCTCTTTTTCCTTCAGGCCTGTGCACCGACACCTTGAGGTAAATTTCTCTTTTTTCCTTCAGGATTTCAGCTATCAACCTCGAAATGTAGGCGCTAACAAGGGATAGCGTGGAAACACGCTAAGCACAATATTCACACACGCACGCACATACAGAATATTCACACACGCACGCACATACAGAATATTTACACACACTTCGTCATTTGTACTGTTTCCATGTATTGTAACTTGTTATTAATATATATTTGTATATACATATATTATCGTTCTTGTGTTTTGTTTGCTTTCTTTACCTTCTTCTTTGGACTTAATCAAAGTCCAACCTTTTTATGTAGTTGGGCTCGGCGGGCAGGAGTATCTGAACCTTACTGGCGTTTCCTCTACATTCTGACTTCTATCAACAACAGCTAACAGCCACGCCATGAACCCTCAACAAGTGGTAACCGCCACGGCCCACTACAAACTTAAATTCGACCGAGTTTTATTGAACTCCTGTTAATACAATCTGTTTTTTTCATTCTCTTAAGGAAATATTGGACGATACAAGATTCAAAAACATTTTTTCATCTTCCTTGTTGGGTTTAAGAATACCAGAATCCAGTGATTCTAATTCCGTTTGCTTTTTCTTCAAGAAGCTTTCCAGACAAACATATTTGTCTTGATAAAAAAAGGCTCGAGCATTTTTTCCTACAATTAATTCCTTGAATTTCCAGATTACATTAATAGAAATGATAGATATGAAATATAACGTCCATCTTTCTTTTATTTTCATTCATTTTATTCTCTATGTTTCACTTTCTCCTTCTTTCGGTCTCGTCTTTCCCTCTCTCGTCATTCCTTATTTTGTTGTCTTATCCCGTTACATTTTATTGGTCTTTCTTTCTTTCTTTCCGTACTGATCTTTTATGTTCAAGGGGATGCTGACATTTTCTCGGGCCGACTTTCTTACCAAAATCTGCCCAGATGATCAAACATCAGAATGTTTCTTGATTGGGCCGATAACTTTTCAGAATTCCACGTATATAAATTTAACAAATTTCCATTTGCTGTTTTTTGGTCTTTCTTATCTATCCATAATATTTTTAAGCATGTGGATATTGCCCTAAAGATGGAAAATGGCACATTTTCTTTTATAAGACTTTCGATTTCTAGACCGGTAGATAATAATTTAACTTAAAAAAAAACAGGAATGTCTACATAAACACATGTATACACTAAATATAACATTTCTATCTATCTCAGGGTGTTCATGTCTATCTGTCTATTTCAATGTGTTCATATCTATCTATCTATCTATCTATCTATCTATCTATCTATCTCAATATGTTCATATCTATCTATCTATCTATCTATCTATCTATCTATCTATCTATCTCAATATGTTCATATCTATCTATCTATCTATCTATCTCAATATGTTCATATCTATCTATCTATCTATCTATCTATCTCAATATGTTCATGTCTATCTATCTATCTATCTATCTCAATATGTTCATATCTATCTATCTATCTATCTATCTATCTATCTCAATATGTTCATATCTATCTATCTATCTATCTATCTATCTATCTATCTATCTCAATATGTATCTATCTATCTATCTATCTATCTATCTATCTATCTATCTATCTATCTCAATATGTTCATATCTATCTATCTATCTATCTATCTATCTCAATTTGTTCATATCTATCTCTCAAGTTGAGGCGAAAGCATTTTTTAGCAGATTTATTTCTTCAGTTGAATTTAGCAAATCCCTGTTTAAATAATTTTTCCTTTCAAATAATTTTCCATTTCAGGTATTAGGTTAATGCGAAAGTTTTCCAGTATTTTTGACAAAATCCTTTATCGATATAAATTTATAGCAGTCATCAGTCATCAAAGAATTTTCTCTCCTTTTCTATGATCTTATGAGACGTTTCATCTAAACTGTGTAGTCCATCATAAAAGAACGATTCTTAGAGGAATTTTTCAATATTTTAAAATTGTTAGAACCGCTTTAGTATTAAACCAAAAAAGGTAGGCACCGTTCCGCCTACGCCAGATTACGCAACTCACATGACTTAAGAATTTCAGACTGTGCATTTTTTCTGCACCGACACATCCCTACTGATGGTGCTTTTATCGATTCACCATCTCTAGACTGAGTGTCAGCTGAGGTTAGGAAGCCCAATGACCCCTTCTATTTAAGCCATACCTTTCCCCAATATTAGGAGTAAATAGGTTTGCCTATCGTCAGGTTCACACTTTTCCCCTGTCTTTTGAAAAGGAGTAGAGATTCATCCTTTCTTTCCTGTTTAGGATTGGGTTTCCGGTTCCTTCTAAAGTCTACTTCAACTCGATACTTTTAACGCCTCCGCCTGAACTTTGAAATTTTATTCGCTGATTAAATCTTGACTTCTTTAAATCTAGAATTAGCTATCAATCTTTCCTGGTATCTTGCCCTTTCTTATGCTAATACAACTCCATACACTAACCCTCTACCTTGAGTGACCCTTGGGCCTTTTATTGGGTGAACATTTGCAAAAAAAAAAAAGAGTATTTATGCGGACGTGAACATAACAAACTCGGGCGTAATTTGAACTCGGCTCGACGCGATTTTCGAATTAATCTATGACAAATCAAAATATTTACAAACGTTTATCAACACTACACAATTATTTTATTGATTTCTTCCTCGTTCCATTACTGCTTGATATTTGTAAAATGGAACCGTATCCGTAGTTTTGCACGATTGAATGTTTTTGGGGCTATTTCGATATTTGAATGTCCGAGATGCTTAGGTTTAGTTATTTAATTGATCTATGCTAGGTATTGATCTGAAAACACTGTCGTTGCAACTTAGTGTTTGATTAGTCTCGCAGTCTGACATTTTAATCAGTTATTAACTTGACTGTATCAATGAAACAAGAATATTTAGCTTTCACTTTTTTATGAAGAGAAAGTGAGAGACCAATATTACGCTGAGTTTGAACTTCACTGAATGTCCACACTTGTGGCTATGTATCATAATATAATAATAATGACAGGTTGTTCGTTTCAGTATACACTCCTCTGTTAGAGTGGCTAGCTAATTCCTGTTTTCTCAACACCGACAGAGTCAACCTGTGGTTTATACTGCAACGATGATGAGCGGCCCTTAGTTACAGTTTAAGAGACTGCGCATAATCTGCCATGGTTAGTAGTTGAACAATGTTAGTACACTCGAATTCTCGGTCACAGTGAGTTCAGATTTCGTGCCAACACAACTATCGACAGTTTACGAACAGTTTCGTTTATCCAGTTTTATTCACAAGGATTAGATCACCTCGGGTTATGGTCTTCAAACACTTCCCAAGTGTCATATTCTTGGATTGTCTCCCATGACAGATATCTCTTAAGAAGCCACCTCCTTAATAAATCGACCAAGGTAAGCTTTTTAACCTAGGTCCCTTAATCGGAACGTTATAACCACTCGGAAAAGTGCCCACATACTAACCTAAACTTATCGATAAATAGATCCAACTTTCTCTATCACCTTTTCTTCCCTCCTCACTCTCTTGTTCGCTTTCTCTCGTTCTTTCTTCTATTCCCCTTACAAAATCATCATCTTTTCAATTTCTCCCCTCTGTGTTTCTATCGTACTCCCTCTCTCCATCTCTCTCTCTCTCTCTCTCTCTCTCTCTCTCTCTCTCGTTCTTTGTTCCATTTCTTCCATCAGCCTCCTTAATGCCATTAGCAAACTTTTGAAGCTATAATCAACAAGAAGGTTGTTGATCACCTCAATAGGTACAACCACTTGAGCGACCAACAGTACGAGTTTCGATTGATTCGATCCACTGCTGATATCCTAACTACCATCACTCACAGAATCAGAGGCACTAGGCAACAAATACATCTCAAGGACTATCGTCTTAGATTAGGTGTGGCATAAAGGGTTACTGCACAAAATCTCTAGCAGTGGAATCACTGGAAGAGTCTTCTCAATTATCAAGTCCTTCCTGAAGGTAGTTGTTAACGTCCAGTCATCCGAAACCCAAACGATCAACGCTGGCGTTCTTCAAGGTTCACTTCTGGGTCCAACCCTCTTTCTATTTTATATAAATCATCTACCTAATTGTATACTCTGATCATTTGTAAATATTTATGCTGATGATACAACAGTATATGGGTGGACCTCCAAAACTCTAGATGACTACCACTTGGCAGCTGATCTCTCCTCGGACCTAACTCAGTGGGGGTAGGGGGTTATTTAACTGATTGGTCACATTCAATGCCTAAAAAAAAAAAAAAAAAAAAAAAACTAGTGACGTTCTATCGTCACCGAGCGAATTCAGACCTTTCACCAATCGCGATGAACGGGGGTTCCCTCGGGGAGGCTCGTGCATTGAGCGCTTATTGGTACAAACTCAATCAAGATTTCAAGTACATACGATCCGTCGCTAAAGATGCTGGTAAAATTATCTGTTTCTTTTATTGTTCCAGTAAATACCTGACTCCTTCTGCTATCCTCTACCTTTACAAGAGCCAGATCAAACAGAAATTTGAGTACTGCTGCCATATTTAGGCAGGAGCTGCCCTATCATCACTTTCCACTTTCAATAGACACCAAAAATGTCTCCGCGTCCTTGTGGGTGTCAAATTATTTTCCAACCTTTAATCCCTTTTTTACAGATGAAACGTTGCATGTCTGTCACTGCTCTATTTCCATAGAAAGTGTTCAGACAAGTTACATTCTTTAGTTCCACCAGTCCGAACCTTCACGGCTAATACCCACCATGTCATGCGCATTGTAGCGAATCACCCTCATTCCCTTCGCAATCGATTCGTGAGATGTAAGTTCCACTTGAGCAACTTTTCCGAAACCGCCTCTTTGTGGAACCAACTCCCAAGTGGATGCTTCCCCGATCGCCTCAATCAACCTGTTCAAGTCTAGGCTCAATCCTTATCTTTTCTATATATCCCCATAAATTGTGCTTCTGTGTAACTCTCTATCTCGAGTGACCTTGTGCAGGGTGAACATCATTGTAAAAAAAAACCTTCACAGATGCATCTCCTTTTCAATTTCTTCTCCTTCTCTCTCTTGCCCTTTCTTTCTTACTTTTATTCTCTCTCTCTTTCATTTTTTGTTCCACTTCCTTTACAAATTCATCTTCGTTTCAATTTCCCCCTCTCTTTCTTTTATTCTTTCTCTATTTCTCTTATTCTCTCCCCCTTCCTCTCTCATTCTTTGTTGCATTTCCTTCACAGATTCATCTTCTTTTTAATTTCTTCTCCGTCTATATCTTACTCTTATTCTCTCTCTCGCTCTCTCTCATTTTTGTTCCATATCTTTTACAAATTCATCTTCGTTTGAATTTCTTCCCCTTCTCTCTCCTACTCTTTCTCTCTTACTCTAATTCTCTCTCTCTCTCATTCTTCGTTTCATTTCCTTTATTCAAATTCATGTTCTTTTCAATTTCCCCCCTCTCTCTTTTATTCTGCCTCTCTTACTCTTATTCTCCCCCTCTCTTATTCTTTGTTCAATTTCCTTTACAAATTCATTTTCTTTTCAATTTCTTCCCCCTCTTTTATTCTTTCTTTCTTACCCTTATTTTCTCTCTCTTATTTTATATTCCATTTCCTTTACAAATTTATCTTCTTTTCAGTTTCTTTCCTCCCCCTCTCTCTCTTCTTCTTTCTCTCCCTCTTATTCTTTCTCTCATACTCTTATTCTCTCTCTCTCTCTTATTCTTTCTTCCATTTCCTTTACAAATTCATCTTCTTTTTAATTTCTTCCACCTCTCTCTCTCTTATTTCTGTCTTACTCTTATTCTCTCTACCTCTTTTTCATTCTTTGTTCCATTTCCTTTACAAATTCATCTTCTTTTCAATTTCTTCCTCTTCTCTCATCATTTTCACTTATCTTTATATGACTTTTGAACATCAGTCTTACTTTACAATGCGACGTCCTTAATACAGAATTGGCGACTTCACTCTAATTACATCGTTGAATAGCTCCCCCCTTTTGTCTGGGCAGCGTTCACTCGAGCCGGTCTTACCAGGTAAATGCCATAATTGCGCTCGATCCGGTTAATCAAACCGCTCCTATGCCAATCCACGGAGGCCTTTTCTATTCACCGGATATTCATTTCCTGAGATTCACAGTGTTATTCGCTGACATGGCACCTTCCATTTTCAGGTTTTTCCTTGCCAATCAATAACTGTCGCATTAATCGAACTGTTCATTGTGATTTGACCGTTTTTGATTAGAGTAAAAGGTGCTCTCTGAAGCGTTCCATGAAAGCGTGACATCTCTTCTCTGATACCGTGTATAAAATGGAGTCCATAAACGAACTGGCTGTAACGTCTACACGGGAATTTTGTAAGTGCTTTTATTGCAAGGGGAAAAGATGTCTGCCAATAGATAGAATGTTCCATTATAGTATTAACTTTAGAGACCATTAAACAAAGACTGCATTTTTTTAAAATTAAAATTGAGAATTAAAACAGAAATTACATTACATATTAGTGAAGCCAACATCATCATTATACGATTGTTTTAATGCCAAATTAATTTTGAAAATAATAAGCTTAATCTTATAAATTCGTTGTATTCTTATCTTGTTACGAGGCGGATGGTAACCTATTCGTGTTTAGTAAGCAGATCTGGAGAGCAGACGACAGAGTTAATAGTTGTTGCAATATTGTCTTTGTTCAAAATAGCCGAAAATTAGTAATTAGCCGTAGTTAGAGAGAGTTTTGTAGGGAAACAAAGAAGAAGAGATTTATTAAATACGCATACATAGAACAGAAAAAAAAACTTGAGTAAATCAACTACTCCTCAAATCCTACTCTAATGTGGCTACTTGCCATATTTATAAGTAGGGGCAGTCCATTTGTCGCAGAAGTAGGGAAGAGAAGGAAGTAAACTGATTCTTACTCTACAACAATAGTAGAAAGACCCTGTCCTATAGCATTTTATTTAAAATTCCATTTCCCCTTCAGGACGTAGGTGATCATAGTTCTCCACAGATTCCATTTCTTTATTATCTGTGAATTACGATACCTTCTTGGGAAAGTTATTGGATTGGTTTCCCGTTAATTTCTCTACAATTTTGAATTCAGAGTGTTCCTTCTTGTAGACTGGCTACAATTCAAGACTAGATAACTCAAATTTCCTTGCTATTCAACTCAATGCTGGTAGGGAAGAGATGGATCCCTGCCATTCCCAACGTAACAGATAAGGTAGGAATTTTTACTCGGCTTGCCGATTCTATTTTCTGCGCAGAAATTACCCCACTTGTCTGTCAAAGAGCTTCTTTTAACGACCGCTAGATGGCATCGCCAAAAGCAATATTTAAGAAATGTACAAAAGGCTCATTCTCTTATCGTGCTCTTTACCCATGGCAAGCCTTAGAGATAAGACGTGTCGTTTCCCATTTGGAGGTTCTTTTGATCTCCAACGAACCTCGTGTCGTATTGAACACAACACAGAATAGTAAATAATTATAAATTACTTTAGTCGAATGTAGGCCTTTCACAATCTTTAATTGGAACTTAACACATACATACATTTGAAAAAGGACATCTCTACATGCACAACTTGATTTATCATATTTGTATTGTCTCTATTTAGTATTCCAAGGCAAATAACTTGTTGTTAATTGTACGTAATTCTTTGTATATGCATTCCTACTGTCTTGATAAAAGAAATTCCAACACGTCCACACATTATCCTATCATATCACTATACACTTCAACAAGCTTCAAGCTACTCACACATCTCGTTTGTAACAAAGAATCAGGTAAAAATGTGACAGGCGTCTCGTTTGTGTTTAATGATTATTATAATTAAATTTGGAAAAAGAACTAATTAAGGAAGTTAGATGGGTCAAATGGTTTCTAAGGAATTTTTTTTAATTTAATTCCTTTAGATACACAAGATAATTGAAAATGACATTGTTTTTTATCTTTCAAATTCAACAAAAAACAAAGGGTGAAAGATTTAAATAAAGGATTATCCTTTTCAATAAAGGGCATTTGCAACCCTATTAATATGTATCACGTGTTTAAAACTTATTTGGTCATTATATTCGACAAACGAACGACTTGCGTCTCCCGCTCAAAAAGACCTCCCAATTTAAAGAGCTTAACCAAAAACAGCTAAGCCATTTTCAAATATTTATAAGCTAAATATGTTTGAGAATGAAAATCATCGATAAGGTAAACTAAATTTGGTTCATTGTCAAAAATAGTATCCAGGCTTCAGGTTAATTTTCCGTATTTAATGGCAACAACAGAAAATGGAATCAATTCTTCGTATTATTTTGATTAAATGCAAAGAAGTGTACAATTCTGAAAACATTCATGTTTACTAATTTTTTTTCCCCAGCTGAACGAAAGTGACAATAAAATGGCGTCTTCCCAGGTTAAAATGGAGGCAGCTTTTTAGATTTGAATGTTGAAAAAGAATATCTATTATCAGCTAACATTTAAATGCAGAAAAACTTTTCGTTAATTAAATTTTATTCAATTAGATCTGTCGACTTGTACATTGGAAAAATATTATGGCTCTAATGACAGACGCTGCTTTTTGTAAAAAAAAAAAATGTCTAAAATCAGAAAAAAAAATATAAGATTAAATTATTATTTAAAATTAGCCTTAGGATAGATTCTTGGAAACTTAAAGTGATAGAATAAAGAAAAAAAGTAAAATAATTTAATTTCAATATCCTGTTTCCGATTCCAAGATTTTTCTTTCTTTCTTTCTTTCTTTCTTTCTTTCTGTATTACACATACGCATATATAGAGAGAGTCAGCGGCAGCCAGTTGCAATTTCATAACTGTGTTCTGCATGTCTCATTCCATATGTCACAGGAAAGTCATGAAAACAAGTGTGTGGGTCACTTCCTGTCAAGTTGAGTTTCCACCTTAAACAAATTCACGCCATCGGCACTTTTGTTCTTTATCGTCTCATATATATATATATATATATATATATATATATATATATGAACAAACAAAATAGATGTAATTTTATACCTTAGGATCCTTTCAACCAACACTTTTTCAAAGGCAATCGTTGACGAAATACAAAAACAATTAAGACACACAATAATAACGAAAGAGGAGGGAAGTAGGAACGCGATTAAAAGGAAATAAATTTTATTTGTAAATAAATAATAAAATGAATTACAAGTTCCACAAAAGTATAAAATAGAAAAAAAAGAAACTCACAGATCCTCGATCAATCGTAAGGAGCGCATAAAATGCTCCTTTTGTCGGCATAGGCTCGACTTGTGAAATTTTATATACACAGCCTCAAGAACTCGGAGATGGTAAACCGAGCGAGCACTATGTAGAATTGAAAAACATGTGTCTTCATATTCGGCAGCACAGTCGGGACTGTCCAGCAAATTGCTTCCCAATCGTGTGTAAACCTCTCTTTGGAGTGGTTTGTAACACATTATTTATCATCTCTCAGTTGCGTCTCTGTCCTTGGGCAGAGTCCACTCAAGAGTGACTCCGTAAAAGGACAACGTCGCAACTGAGGAAGATTATACTGAGAGGTGCCCAACCCTAGGGAACATCTGCCTGAGGTTGCGCCCTCTCATTGCACCAAAGAAAGAGGGATCGATGGTCGCAACGAGGCCAGCGCAACCGACGGTTGCGGGAGATGCGGGCTATTTTTGTTCCCTAGCCGGGTGTACGCTCTTCCCCACCTTGAAAACTGAACTTGTGTCAAAACTCGTCAGTGTGGAGGCAGAGTAAATACATAGTCTTGGCTGGTGAAATTTTATGCACACAGCCTCAAGAACTCGGAGATGGTAAACCAAGCGAGCACTATTTAGAATTGAAAACCATGTGTCTTCATATTCGGCGGCAGTCAGGACTGTCCAGCAAAGATCTTTTCTCATATCTTGTTCGTCCTGCAATGTTGTACCGTCGTGTATTAAACGTAGGTTATTGAAAATCAAAATTAGTTCCTTTTCTGTTGAGCAAGCTTTTATTAGACATGATTTGGACAAACTGTTTGATTATTCTTATTATTGTTTACGCTCATTTCATTTTATTGAAAACGAAATTCGCGGTAAAATGACTTTTTCGATTTCTTTCGTCTCTCTCGTTATTTGGCCAGTAACAAATTATATTTGGAAAAATCACTTAGAGAGAATGATAAGAAATATTTAAACAGCCTCGTGTCTAGAAGGTTTGGGGTTGACGATGGTAATCCTAATAAACATATCTTTAATTATTCCAACATCACTCTGACTGAGATTGAACTTCTCTCTCGTGGTTTGGAGTTTTGCATTTCACCTTCTAGAATTTTTAAGGAACAAGTTTTCACTGAGTTTGAGATTTTGTATTCTCAATTAATTAAACATGTTCCTTCTTCTTCTGATAAGTGTTCTGCTACTAAGACTAGACTTCTTGAACTGTCTAATGAATATGCTTCGCTTACTGCTGAGCGAGATTTTCTTGCTTGGCAAAGCGTTCATTTTCGGACAATAAAAGCATTAAAGTCAAGGGACGATGTGTATGCCATTAAGCCTGATAAAGGTCCTGGCGTGGTTATCTTAAACAAACAAGATTATTTGGATAAAATGACCAACATTTTAAGTGATTCTTCGAAGTTTATGATGATCGGTCCTGCTGGTACGTGTAACAATACTAGCAAAGTTAAAGCGAGAACACAAACATGGTTGCTCTCTGTATACAAGAGCAACCTTATCTCTAAGGACATAGTTAGACCTACAGGGTATCAACGTCTTAGAATGTATGGACTGCCTAAGGTACATAAAAACAGAGTACCACTTAGACCCATCCTCTCTATGGTGGGATGCGTGCAACACGAGTTGGCCAAATGGTTGGATGAACTACTTCAGCCAGTCTCAGATATCTTTTCAGTACACAATATTTCAGACTCTTTCCTTTTTCAA